TGGATCAGTGTTAGAGTTGGAATATATGCTCGCTTCTTTTAGCTGACTTCAGGATTTTCCTATACAGTACTGGAGTAGGAATATATGTTCGCTTTGTTCAGCTGAGTTCAAGAGTTTCCTATACAGTACTGGAGTGGGAATATATGTTCGCTCAAAGCGAATCGCCTTCCTCAGCTGAGTGTGAGTTGAGGCGTGAATCAGTGGGTAAGTTGAATCATGGACTCAGATTCATGAATCAGTATCCGCATACGGCCCCAGGAATTTCCTCGCAGGAAAAACTTTCATCTTTGGGCGAGCGACTTCGTGATTGCCACGAGAATAGTTCACTCTCTGCCGCTAGCAGCAAATCTCCTCAGTCGACTCTTTGATAAAGAGACGATTTTGTCTACCTACTGAGTAGCGACTTCTCCGCTGGAACTCGTTGAAGCACTTTGGGTCCAAATCTTAGACATTCCGAGTACGAATGTACTCGGAGTACGAATGGTCCGAAAATCAGGCCGATCGCCGAATCTGGTGAATTGAATATACCGGTTAATGAAACAGTAGCGCCGCAACAATTTCTGAGAAACTGTATCTCAACTCTTTCTCAACTCTTTCTCAACTTTCCAACTCAAGTACATCCCTCGCGGGAAGTAAAGCTTTCTTCCGTTATAAGCGATATAATGGGCCGCAGTGTTATCGAGCTGGCGGCAGTTCGATGTGAAAAAGGTGAAAAGAAAAATGATCAATGGCCATCAGCAGCTGTTATTGCATCACGTATCATGCATCCAAGGTCGTAGACACCCCCTGCCACTGGACATTGAAGTGAAATGTAATAAGAGCTCAGCTTGAGAGGCTACCTCTCAGAGACGCCCCTTAGAAATACCTGCGTACTACTCTGTGAGGGATCATCCGCGAGTTGAATCAATAGCGTGAAACAAGGAGTCTGTATCCCAAGGGTACAGATCACCACCCTCGAAAAAATCGTTGCCATATAGTCCAATGCCGTGTAGTCCGTTATACGTGGAGAACATTTTATGCAACTATTGCACGTAAATCGCATAGTTAGGTAAACTACGATAAAAACTATAGCTGTGAGCAATGTGATTTATTGTCGTTGTTGTTGTTGTTGTTGTTCAGGAAAAAAACTGTTGAAAAACTCTCGAATGCGTAAGATTTTCAGGAGTTGGTGCATAGATGTTGATTTGATAGCAAGTGCTTGCTACAATCACTTGATTTGTTCTAGTCGAACTGATAGAGAAAAGCCTGGATCTTTACTGCTGACATCACATAGTACTAAAATCCACTCCCGAGAATCGAGCCCACGACCTCCCGTGTGATAAACTACCGCTCTAGCTATTCAGCTAACAATACTATATATTTCACGATTTAACCAACTCATCGAACGGATTGTACGCAGCGCAACTGTGCACGCATACACATAATAGCGTGGGATGCGCGGCGAACAACGTAGAGCTATTATGAGGTTCGTAAGCTCCTCACTCTCAGTATCTTTGTATATCGCCCGCCTTAATATGTAACCGTGAAACCGTTAGATTCCCCATTACCCCACGGTTGCCATTCTTTGTGGGACTATATCTGCTATTGAATATACTCTGCTGGTCTCTGGCCACCCTCTATCTGTTCCCTTCTAATACGGCTCCTACCGTTGCGTTACATAGCAAGGACATGACACTATCGGATGAATGACATGAAATAGGGAAACATTACAGCAGCAATGAAGCTCTGTCCCAAGACCTTCCGTGTAATAAACTGGCGCTCTACCTATTCAACTAACTATACTATACGTCAATCAAGGGTGAGAGCAGAAAGGGTGCCTATAGAGCTTTGCTTCGGACTCTTATATCGGCTACATACAGGCATTCATGTGAGAACAAGATTTTACTACGAAGTCTAACATGATATAGATTGTACGACTCACAAGTGCAACGTTAAATTGTGAGAATATCTCGCTCACTCTCTGGATGCAACTCGTTGATTGGTGATGTCATAGTAGTTACAGATTGAGTGCAAAATAATGAATGAACCAGCCTAAAATGGGACTTTGGGTCTCCACAGATAACGGAACTAGGCTGAGCAGCAAGGAAGTGAGCATACTTCCAATGATAATACTCACTAGGATATACTTAGGTTCACAGATAGAGGATGTGATGGGCGTATGATACGCCGCGTATCTTAGGAGTATCTTGGAATATCCGAAACGGCGACCAGCGGAGCGGTATAGTTTATGATACGCCATTATTGAGACTTGTCATCCATCTACAAAATATAACGCTACCTGGAGCCGATTAAAGTGCTAAGGCGTTCCGAGTTCCGAGTCTCGGAAGTCCCATCCCGAGAGTCCACGGATTAAAGTGCGACCCCTCGGAGAAGCCGCTTTTTCGAGAGCTTGGACTCGGAAATCAGAGCGCTTTAATCGGCTCCCGTTGGAATTTATAATCAAGTCGCACGCGGATGTAAATCGATTACACGGGCGCGCGCTAATCAATTGGTCCAACATGTTTCGTACTGACACAAGCTCCGTGCGGTTATACCCGAGTAAAAACGTCACAATACAATTCTCATTTCGAGCCGCTACTCCTTCATTTGTTCGTCACCGATGCACATTCTAGCGACTCTTTGTTCTTTATCATCGTGCAGTGTTGGAGTAGGAATATATGTAATCGCTTTCCTCAGCTCAGGAGTTTCCTCGCTAATTATAGGAGTTTACATACAAATTCGGGTAGAAGTGTACAGAAATTTTCTCTCAGAATTTTCATATTGTCATCATCACCAACGCATGTAGTTGACCATGTGCATATTTCCCCCCCACACTTTGGTATTAGACAATTTTTTGCGGAAAAATGCGAATTTTTTTTTCTAGAATTCCTCTTTACTTTCTCCTTTCCAATGGATGCCGCGCCACAAAATTCAACCACTCCAGAGCAGCACTGGCGTCTTCTAGCCCAGCATTTGAGTGAGGACGTTGACCACTGGTTCGACGCTCAAAACCAGATCGTACTCTCCATTGCCGTCTGCTTCATTGGGCTGTGGATTTTGGTAATGGGAGAAAGTAATACTTGGGAAATGAAAAAAAAATTCTTCTCACGCGTGGTATGGAAAACACTAGCGAAAAAATATATATTTTACGACTGTTTTTCGCGGAGTTTTACGCCACTTTACGAAAAACGAGTGAAACTTCATTTTCGTTGAAAATAATTTCGGTTCGCGAATTTCTCATTTTACTACTTGTGTGGTAATTTCGGAAAATTCATTTTTTCCACCATTTTTTCGCAAAGTTTAATAGTTTTTGCATATTTTTTTATAATATACGTATCAATTATGGTACTGGAGGAAAGTAGTTGAAAGGAAAAGGTTCATAGGAAGAATTTTGTCGCGCGCGGTCGGATAATTTCTCCTCATTTTAGGGACACTACAAGTAGCTTGGTTAGCAGTGGGCGCAGTGGCTGGGTTTTACACGTGGTACCTTCCCGTCACCGAATGGTATCTCCCAGTGTTGGCATCTCCTGAGGGCTTGAGAATAACAGTGGCTGTTGTATGTGCTGGGTTAGGAACATGGATAGCATATCTATTGAGACTAGGCGCATTGTAATATGGGAAAAAATTTCCGGAAAATTTGCGTAATTTTTTGGGGAAAATTTGAAACATATTGACGTAAAAATGGTATATAAGTTCTTTCTTAGGGTTGCTGGTATAGTATCGTCTGAAAATTTCGGATCATTAGAGTTTACGTGAAGTGGCGGTGAAAAACGCGATAATCTCGGTGATATGCAGTAGTCGCGAAATATATTTTTCACTAGTGTTTTTCATATCACTAGGGTGGTGAAATTC